ACTGATGGCACTGAAGCCCCTTTGCAGAGGGCAGCTCCAGTGAGTCAATGTGTGCTCTGCTTGACTCCCTACACACAGCACTCACTCTCAGTCAGATAAGTTATCCTTACCAGCTCAACCCCGGGTTTTCCATAGCAGAGCCAGAGACATCAGGATCCTTAGAACAATTTAATCATGTTGCAAAACACAAAGCCACAGGGATTCAGTTGTTCAGGGTCCCTCCTTGGGGACACCCAGCTCAAGCTGGCTTTTTGTTTTGCAACATGATTGGATATGTCTCAAGAATTCTTTGATGATACTATAGCTCCGTAGGTCCTAATTCTCAAGTGTTAATATATTCTTGTAGATTTAGATTCCGCTGATCAGCCTTGCTGAAGAATATTAGAGAAGGTGGTTTGGAAATTTTAGAATTATATACTTTGATATAATCTGATATATTTTCATATTGTTAAGCTGTATTGTATTAAAAGGCATGTATGTAGGATCTTTGTTGAATTTTGTCATTTTCTTTGACTTGAACAAGAAGCAGACCATCATTGCATTGTTCAGCTTATTTTAAAAGTGCCATGAATACAAATTACTCCTATAAGAATATCTTAAAAATGCATCTGCAATATTTTTGTCATACTAAAGAAAACCCAGTGCACAACCCTAATTTTCTGGAGTAAGGCAAACAGTGATTTTTCTTTGTACAGCAGTGAGCTCAGAGTTGGCTTTTACCATTCAAAACTAACAACTGAGGAGTAAATGGCTCTATAAAGATGCTACATCGTTGCTTAGACAAAAGCTGATTAAATGTTAGAACTACTGTGAGAGGAATAAAGAACAAAGGAAATGGTTGCATAGAAGACATATTACACATTTCTGTGTAATATCAAATAGCTTATGCAGCCCTGGTCCCAGCATCTCAAGAAGAACCAACCAACCTTGGAGAAGATGTGAAGAAAGATGAAGAGATGATCTTGGTGCAGACTGTCCAAGGACTCTAGAGGTTTTGAGACAAAGAAAGGCTGAAAATAAATTTAATACAAGAGAGTTCTGTAAAATTGTTAGGAACAATGTGGAGAAGGGAATAGCTAGGTGCTATCTGCTGCTTCTTTCAGATTAAGAGCTAGGTTGTATTAAGGATTTTGCAGCCAGCTTAAAGCAGACAAAAGAAGTGAACTTTCAGATGATACACAGAGAGATTGTAGGGTCTCTTGTATAGCATGTTGCAAATACTGGCACTGCACTTCCATCCAGACAAGAATAGCCTAAAATCTAAAATACATGCTGAAAGCTATTGATTGAAAACTTGTTGAGCCTCAAATTGCTGGAGGATGCAGGAATATTTTGGAGATGGCTCACTTTGAATTTAAGCCTGTATAAACTTCAGCTTCCCTTGGCATTGCTGGACATTTTTTAGTTGGGATACTGGCTTAGATTCTCAGTTCTGAGAATGTCAGAGCACTGAGAAATACAGTACAAGGAAACAGAATGGAGTTTAATTTGTGAAATACAACCCACTATGATTCTTCACGTCCATTTTTCATGGAGTGTAGGAATGGATCTGGAGACAATGATGTTGTTTTTTATAGAAATTAATCATTAGAGGTGCTTGGTCCCTATATGGCCAATGAGAAACTGGACTGATGCGACTTTTCCACTTCTTACTGAAAGTCACAGTACAGAGTCTATGTTATAGTTCCACATTGTTATGTTTTCACTTCCAAGCAACCTAAAGCTAAGTCAGATTCTCTGATTTTCAAAGATTCTCTTGGGTGCATTAGGTAATATTGAAACATACATTAATGGTTAAATGGTTTTCTTTGCTGTTGGTTGTGAAATTGCTGTGTTCATCATCTTATGAATGTCCTCGAACTATTTCTTTTCCTTGCATTTAGAACAAAAAGTTGAAGTAAGGAGAGGATCTATTGAGGGTTTGGGAGTTTCTTCCTTTGCCCTCTTTTCTATACTAAAGTTTTAGAGTGTGTTAGCAAAAGTGTATCATAAACATCTTATCCTATACAGGTCCATGTGGGCCAAAGAAAACTGTAGAGATTCCTTTATTACTGATTGGGCTGATAGATAAACTTAGGAATGAAACTTCTCTTTTTTTTTTTACATTAATTTCATGTTTCCTCTTCCCATTTATGGACCCAATAACCTGATATAGCTATGTAAAAGGGCAACATTTTGAAGACTTCTCCTGTAGCTACTCTGCTATTTCTGTGAAAAGTCAATTTAGCATTTTATAATGTGAAAGTGTGAGGATGTCACAGTTGCCATGTCAATACTCTGCTGTCTGCTTTTCAGAAATGTACTTGTTGCTGCCTGTGTGAGAACAGATTAATGTCCTAAGTGTATTGACTTTCTGTGCTTTACTTTGATTGTGGCTGGACTGCCTGCTGCAGTGGAACAGCCAGGTAGTCGAGGGAGGGGATTGTCCTGCTCTGCTCTGAGCTGGGGCAGCCTCACCTCAAGTGCTGGGGGCAGTGCTGGGTGACACAGTATAAGAAAGACATAAAATTATTAGAGAGTGTCCAAAGGAGGGCCACAAATGCAGTGAAGGGCTTAGATGTTGCAGGTGTATGAGGACTGACTGAGGTCACTTGGCTGGTTCAGTGTAGAGGAGACAGGGGAGACCTCATGGTGGTCTTCAGTTTGCTTGTCAGGGGAAGAGGAGGGGCAGGCATTGATCTCTTCTCTGTGCTGACCAGGGACAGGACCTGAGGGAATGGCCTGAACCGGGGCAAGGGAAGGTTAAGGTGGAAAACAAGGAAAAGGTCCTCAACCAAAAGGGGGTTGGGAAACGGAACCAGCTCCCCAAGGAAAGGAACAACGCAACAACCCGGCAAAAGTCAAAAAAGGGTTGGAAAAAGCCCCCAAACAAAGGGGGGGAAAACTGGGGTGTCCTGTGCGGGGCTAGGAGTTGGACATTGATGATCCTTGTGGGTCCCTTCCAACTCAGGATATTCTATGATTCTATGAACAGAACTGGGAGAAGACTATTCCAAGACACTTTCTCAATGTGTTTTGATTGTCTTGCTTAGAAAGGCAGCAAGAGATTAGCAGGAATTTATCACAGCTGGCTAACAAAATCAAGACAGTTATTTGGTGATTGTAATCCTGGAAGCCCTTTACTTTGGGAAAGACAGTTGGAAAGCTATGTAGTCTTTGTTTCTGGTAATCTGAGAAATTTGCAGAAATAACATACTTTAGCAGGTCTGTTTCTGGAAAGATGAGATGTTCAGTCAACTCACCTTGAGGAACTTTTTGTTATGAAATATTGAATTTGCACTTTTTTTTATGAACCAAAATGCCACACAATTCATTGACCGAGATTTCTCTTCCATATCTTGGAAGTGTATTCATTTATTTGTGTAGTCTTGTCTTCCAAACCACACTGATAAAACCCTGTGGCTGATAATGTTTATTATAATGATCAGCAATCAAATAATTAAGTGTTGACATGCAAATTGTTATTAAGCTTCGGAAATAGCATCTTGTTTTGATGAGCATGCTAGTTCATGACACTGCTATTTTGGTTTACAAGTTTATAGCAAGAAAATAATCTGATGGGTGTTGTGGTAAGTGCAGAGATGTGTATTTTTCCCAGACATGAACACTTCTTATCAAAACTTCAAATTTTGTATTATTCTTGCATCTGTTGTATCATATGGCATTTTTGTATCTTAGTGTTGCTCCTCTGTTACTTGAGGTTTTTTCCATGGACTTTGACTCTTTCACTCTTCAGCCTCTGAGGATAATGTGATTTGACCATTTCTTGTGCAGAAAATCCTGCCTTTGAATTTTTAAGGATTACTGACAGATCAGAAGTTGAGTGTAGATAAATAAGACCTCAGTCAAATAATGTATATTATTGAAACAATGAAAATAAATTGATACTACAAAGCAAGTTCATTGCACAAACAAGAAATTGTGTGTTTAGTTTTACTTATTTATATTTCTGAAACTTATATTTTTTAAAAAATTGATTTCGGATTTGCAAGCCATTATTTTTGGAAACATCTTGTTTGATGCTTTTGATTAGACTTCTCCCTTTAATTTTTCGTTTACAATTTTTATTTTCTTTGAAAATACAACTTAAAGAAAAGCAAACAACAAACTGTATAACAGTATCACTGAGTTCACAGTATTAGAGCTCTGAAGAAGCTGTGAAATCAGCAGGTTTTGCTGGTGAAGTACGATCAGGTATTTCTTCCTAAAAGCCTAACAGTTGGCTTTTTGCAGTGATCAGTATTTGCTGAGGTGATGGAGTGCTTGGAAGTATTTTACATTGCAGTTTTCAGTGGAAAATTACAGAAATTTCTCCTTAGGTAGAAATTAGTGGCAAAAATGTCTCTATTAGGGGTTATAGTTGCTTCTGTGCTGTAATAGTAAGCAGCTCCTTTTTGTTCTTTCCCTTTTAAATCCTTCATGAAGTGTTACATCACTAACTCTATATGCTGAAGGAAATAAGCACTTCAGCACTTAAATCTGTGATATTAGAAGAGTAATGGTACTGAGAGGTGAATACTGCCCTTTCACAAAAGATTTTCAGATTTTTGTCACAGCACCTCTATGCATTTTTGCAGCAACATCTTTCAACAGACCTGTCATTTTTGAAGGTCATTGATGAAGAAAGACTTCTTCATTGCTATATTCTGTAAGGCCTTCCTGTGGAGATTGCTTTGCCACAGCAGTGGAGAGGTCCTACATTAACAAGAAATACCTGTTTACAGTTTCCCAGCAGTAATAACTTCTAGTTATCTTTTGTGTCTGCACGTGTACCAGCAGAACCACCGCTGCCTCCCAGATGTTTCTGTCTGAAGGCTGACATCTCCTGCAGCCTGATCTTTAAATCACGTCTGACTTTTGATTATTGATCACAAGAAGCTTAAATAATTGAAGTGATAGTCAACTTCAGTGACCTTTCTTCTGTGCCTTTTGGCAGGTGAAAATGACAAGAGTGGTGACATTTCCAGGTGGCAAAGCTGTGTCTGGAGGAGGTGGTGGTGCAGGCAGCTCTGATTCAGTTGCAGGTTGCCAAGTTGGGCTGGAAGCTAAGCTCTTTCTTGTGTTTCCACTGCTGTCCTCCTTGGGAAACCTTTGTGAATGTAGCAATAATTGGAATATTGAGACTAGAAAAATAATCTAAGCATTCACAACAATAAGTTCAGACAGAGCATCAGAACTGCAAAGAATGGTATGTTCAAGTTCCCTGGAGGTAAGCCCTCCTGTAACCAGGGCACTCTGTCCCTGAGCTTTGGGGTGATGGAAACTGGGAGGGTAATACATGCCACTGCAACCTTTCTGATAGTTGATTATCAAAACAGTTCAAACAGTGGAATGGTTTGTATGATTGCATGGGAGGTGATCCTGAAATTAGAAAGAAACACTCGTAAATATTTTGAATGCCTTATGTTGATGTCTGAAGGACTGACTGGGTGTTAGGTTTTTTGAGCTTTCCTAAAAGAAAGCTGTTGCTGAAAGGAAGTTTTTCCCCACTTCTTTTCCCCAGAGTGCACTTTTCCCCTTTGTTCCTTGTGCTTAAACTGATAGCCTTGATGACCTTGCTAGGGTCGAAGCTTGTGAGCTTGTTGCAGGAAGCTGTACCATCTTTTGGTGGGATGTGTTTTGTGTCAGAGGGGTCCTGGAAGTGACTTTGTCTGTGAGTGGAGTGCAGGGACTGGCCTGGGTGGGTAAGGTGGTGGGAACATGTGGAGGGCAGTGCAGAGAGGAGAGGTGTGAGAATGGAGCCCTGCCCTCCAGTGGCAGGTGGCCAGGACAGCAGCTTAGCTGGTGCTCTCTCTATTGAATGTTTTTGTCATAATGAATGATCTGATGTGCTGTAGATTTTCTTCTGATTGCTTGTGGAGGAAAAGGAAGTCTTCTTTTGGATGAAGTTCAGTATTGGGTCATGATGATTATAATTTAAACAACTAAAGGTTGACCATAGTTATAGGTGGGAAAATGCAAGGTCTTTGTAATGGTATGGAAAACTTTCCCTGGCCTTCATGAGAGCTGAAACACTAAATAGAGTTGAGGTCAGGAAAGAGTGTTGGTCAGGGTTTCTGTGAACTGGGAAGGGAATTTTTAGCTGTAGATTACATCCCTCCATCCCTTCTGGATATCCTTGAGGGACTGCTGTGTAACAAGCTCCATTTATTGTCTGACCTATAACTTGGCTGTTGGCAGTGCCTTTGATCTTTTCTGCTTCTTCCTGGTGTGACATGATGTAATTTTTATAGCTTTTTGGTTTTGCATCTGCAGTGTATTACAGGCTGCTTTAGAGCAATTTTTTTTCTTCATTTAGTAGATGGTGTTGTCAGCTACTGGGCGAGCTGGCCTTGATGACCTGCTTGATGGAAACCAGAAAGCGCTTTCCTTGAACTTGGTTTCCTCCCATATTTAGATGGATCTGTGAAATTCAAACCCCTTTCGCCTACTTGTGGTAAAGACTGTAAAATCTAGCTCTCTTCAACCATGGCAAACATTGCTGACATAGTGCTGTAGAATTATTAGTATTTTTATAGCACCTTAACAGCAGACCTTGCAGAGTGCCTTGCCAGTCTTAGACTTCACCTTGTTTTTGTTGCAAAGGACACCATGAGCAATTTTATTAGGGTGTGGCAGAAGTGTGTAGTGTTGCATGATGCTTGTCCGTCTTCGACAGGTTATTGCTCCTAATGTGTTCATGTGTGCACGCACAAGCATTTGCATAATTAAAGCATTACTTTTGAAACAGCTATTTCAGAAATGTATTGTCCACTATTTATGAAGAAAAAACTGAAAAATATTGCTGTGGTGACCTCAAATGTACCTTATTTGTAAAGGGGAAAGTGTAAATTATTGGATATTCCTGTGGTATTGTAAGTATTAATGAGGCTTGATGTGAATTAAAGGCTTGGACTCCTGTGGATTGATGGATGTGAAACTATTAGATTTGGTCCTCATAGATAGAATTGTAAGTCTGACGTGAGAATTAATTAGTTTTCTTTCTTTTTTTTACATTTTATGACATGCTAGTAAGCCCAACAGTTTTTGAAAAGAAAAGTAGAATATGAAGGTAAGTTTTGAAGCTAATAAAGTAGTGTAGGCAGTTTTTCTGCCTCACTTCCACTTGAAGTAATTGTGTGTGTGTAAGGGGAAAGAATCACGAATAATAAAAGTTGAATATTATAATTTGAGTGAGCTAGATTTTAGAGATATAAAGATTTAGAGAGTATTGCTACTAACTTTCTAGTCTTGTGTTAAAATGATAATTGAGGCGAAATTATAGCTCCTTTCATATTTTTAGATCTCTAGGTAGCATTCTTATTTTTTTATCTTTTTTTTCTTTATTTGATCTTGCATAGATATATTGTTAAGAATCTTCTATATTTCGTATCCTTGTCTAGGAGAGACAAACTTCTGTCGGATGCTTTTGATTTTGTGTTTCTCTTTTTAACAGCCTGGTGGTCAATCTGCCATTACACATTCATCTTGCCCAATCCTGTTTCATTTAATATTCAGGAGACAGCAATCTGTAGTCTGATGATAATTTCTAGTCAATCTGTGTTCCAAATGAGTACTTATGTACTTCAGCCAAAATGATGATCCACCTCCTTCATTAGAATGGTATATCTCAATTATTGAAATACTTGCCTTCATTTCTTCTGTTTAGATCTAATAATCTGTTTAGATCCATTTTTCTTCTGTTTTTAGATCTAATAAAAAGTATGAGAGCTCAGTTTGTGCCTTATTTATAACATTACCTCATTTTTTGCAATGTTTATCTGTAACTTTGGTAGCATGAAGAAAATAGTAATGTGATTTTGAATATATTTGTTATTATAGGAAATGATAAGAGGCTAAATCTTCCATGACAGACAGAGAGCATCTACAATGAAGTTGTGTTGACAAGCTGATCTTGAGTGGCCTTTATTTGTGGCATTTATAGATTTATGGGCCTGAGAACTGCAAAAGGGGTGGAAGGGAGCTGTTAACTCTAGCTACAGTTCTTTCTCAACCAGAAGGGAAATGGAATATGCAGAAAAGCCTGCCCTTTTTTTCAGTCTACACCATGGCAATTTGTTTTGTGTTTGTTTGTGTAGCAAACAAGCTTGGAGTCAGGGTTGTTTTCTTTTTCCATCTAGAACTATATTCAGGTTCCTGTTATCTCCACTGTTTCATCGCTGTCCAGTTACAAGCTTAAGTTTGGAGTCTGTGTCTTGTGGACATTTTATGAGTTGCAAAGCTGAGGTTATTGTCCTTCGCTCATCCAAAAATGTGGCATTTTTAGTTACTTTGTTTTTGTCAGATGACCATATTTTTAAGACAAAAGGGCCATCATTGTCTATATGGACTAGAAGAGAATAAATCAATCTGATGTATTTCTGCATGAAGTTTTAAGTGTGTTGTCCCAGATGTCTTTGGGTGGCTCGGGTTACCTCTCTGTATCCTGGAGAAGTTGCAGGAAACACACCTGCGTTTTTTGGAGTCCTGGATGGTTTTAGTGATGCTGTGTTGCACTTAACAGCTATTTCACTCTCACTGAATTGTAGTCCTGCTCATTCTTTTGTTACTTTGTTTGCTTAAAATCTAGAAAACGTTTTGATGTTGGAATAGATGTCTGAATGTGTTCTTAACTCATTCTTTCTTTATGCCTGGCTTTTGAATTTTAAGAGGTAGCATTCACCTTTGTAGATTGTCAGCTTCGTTCTAGAGATGGAAGTCTCAGTCTTGGCCTCTTTATTCAAGTTGATTTATACTACTTTTTGTTTGTTTTGCAATATTCTTTTGTTTAAAATCAAGAACTCTGGGTAGCAGCCTTGGTTTGCTTTCATTTACGTGCATTAGAAAGTTTATCACATAGAGTTGCTAAGAAAGTAGACAATGAAGGTTTAAAAGGACTTTTTTTTTTTTTTTTTTTTTAGTTCATTGTGCTGTGCCACTTTCAATATGGTAATGCCAATGATCAAAAACACAATAGCAGTCCTATCTTGTGAGTTAACACTTTAGAAAAAAACTTTTTAATCTTAATTTTTTAGCATGTATTTATGTTCTTTGAAGCCTTATAGTTTATTGGTCATCTTCCTGCAAGCATTATTTTCTGTCAGAACAAAAGCTGCAGATTTCCTTCTTAGCTATGTCAAAAAAAGAGAAGCTGCCCTGTGGTAGGGAGGTTACTGTCTTGTGCAGTGCACGGGTGTGGATCTGGAGAACTAACAGCTGGCCAGGAGGAAAGACCTCAACTATTGTCCAATCTCCTGAGACTTGTTTATTTGATTGTTTTAAATATTGGTCTTTCTTAAACTTGTATGTGTTCTCTTGCCTTATGTTTGACAACACTTTCTGGTAAAACTAGGTGTTCAAGGATAAAGATTCCAAACTGCCTTTAGTTTTGGGGTTTTTTTTAATTTTTGTTGTTTTGAAAGAAACCCCTCAAATAAATAAAAACCCAAAAGCACGTTAAAATTTGCAAGACTTCTCTAACACAAAATTAGGGTTGTAATAATATAAAATAACTTTCCTCCTGTTTAATCAGAGTATGGTGATATATGGCATATGATATATGGGATAAAGAATTTCCTAAGGACAAGTTATATGTTAGTAAACTTGCTTCTCAATGTCACATTTATGCTCAACACAACAGACTGAACTTCAGAGGCTGAAAAAATAACTATTTTATTGATATGGCTCATAAATATCGTTTTTAGGAATTGAAACAGTTTGTAGTGATGGTTGTTTCTTCAGAAGAAGTAGTAAAATTATTTCTAGTTTTATCGCCATAACTAGAAAGGGAGGAACCTTCTGAAACCTGAAATGCAGTTCTCAACATTGTGTGTGGTTGTGTCAGTGTGGCTTGCAGAGGTATGTCTGTAAGGAAATGCTGCTGAGCTCCACCTCATTATTTTTCTTCTCTGTTCATCTTAGGCCAAAATTAGTTATGAAAAGAAGGAGAGTTGCAAGCTGCGAGGTAAAGATACATGGATGCCTGCTGATGTGAATGAACGTGTGGAACCAATGGAAAAGGTGATGAAATTGTAAATAATTTAATTGGATTGTTAACTTTACAGAATGTTTACATGAGCAGAAGACTTTGAGGGCTTTAAGACACCTTTGAATGCATCCCAATTTCCGATTTCTTTATGCTTTGATACTAACTTTTTTTTAAGGTAGACATTATCTTTTATTCTCCAAGAGGAAAAAGCACTGTCATTCAATTCCAGCTTTAATTTCTACCAAATGCAGAAAAGAAAGTGCTATCAAACAATGATAGTCTCATGGGAAGAAATCTGTAGGACTCAAGACTTCATAGCAGTCTCATTTGTGCTCATTCACAGGAGAAGCCTTAATGGAGCCTGTGAATATCATGTCATATTAATGTGCAGGTAGTTCAACAGTGTAAAGATGTTCATTGATAATGCAGTGATACCTGAAGAAATAGGTTTGACCAAAATAAATGTAGTATAGTAGATTAGTAGATATTATCTGTTTAGTTGTAGTGCCTTACTTCCGGTAAAAGAGATACTGAGAGAGGGAAGAAAAATTGATTATGGATGTGAGATATGCCCTCCCTGCCCCTACCACCTCAGCCCACCCCTCTCCCCATAGAAGAGAGAGAGGGTAGTAAACTAAAAGATATTTGTGTGTGTTTTACCTTTCTGCAGTGTGGTTTGGTAAGTAGGTTTTGATTTTTAAATTGTTTTTGGTATATGGCTGATTTTGTTTACTGGATCTCATTTGCAAACATTTACTTGTAGGAATGTTCTGTGCAGAAAAAAAAGAAAAAGGATAAACATTCCAAAAAGGCTAAGAAAGAAAAGAAGAAAAGTAAGAAACAGAAATCTGAAAAGAAGGATGACTTATCTGATAGTTCTTCGGTAAGTAAGAAATTTAAAAATAATTCACATTACAGTCTTAAAACTTGAACCATTTTAGTCCCTGTGGGTACACATAGTAAAATTAAGGCTCATTCTTATAATTTTCTGTTGGGAAAAATTGTGGCAAAAATCGTCAGTTTTAATGTACTGAGTATTTAATCAATTTAAAATAGGCTGTTATGTGAGAGCTTGTGAAATTCACTCATTAGGAACTAAGGGATTTTTAATTTTTCAGCAGAGAGAAGATGAAAAGCAAAATCCTCATTCTGATATAGACAGGAAAATTTCATAGATACCCTGTAGTCTGTGGTATATGATAGAAAAATGTGTTTAAAATTGCAAATACTTGACTTGACTTTGATTTTAAGCACGAATTAGCTCTGCCTTTTTCCACAGATGTTTAACCATGGACACTCCCAACACCATGGGAGTTGTACGTGGGTCTGAAGGACTTGTACATTTGAATCTATAAGGACATGCCTTCAGATGGAAGGGCATTCTGACAAAACAGTGCAGAGACTGCATCTGAAATCTGGGTGCTGCCTTCTGGCCACGTTGTGGAAAACATCTTCCCAGCATTTTTGGTGCAAGTCAGGTGGCACTGTTAGTTTTAATTTTCAGTGTCGCTTTTATGGAGTGAAGGAACATCCGTTTAATGAGTTTTATTTTTCAGGGGTTAATACCAGAGCTAAACTATAATGTCAGTGTGGGAAGTAACCACAGGCACAAATGTCCCACATTCTCCATGGGAGTCACCAAAACCCTTCAGATCACAACAGGGACTCCTAGGATGAAGCACAATCCTGGCTGTAACTTCCATCCAAAGTCTTTTAGTCCTAAGACAGGTTCATATAAATAGCAAAGAAACTCTGTTCACTGCAGTCCTGTTGGGTTCAAGTGAAAAATCTTAGTACACTGTTTGCAAGTGCAAGTATAGGAAGCTGGATACAAAATTAGCAGGCAATAGCATGTACCATGCTTTATACTGTGCTGTGTAACTGATATAACTTTTAAAATGTGAAATATACTTAGTAACACATTTAGATTTTTTAAAGTTTTGTTTTTGTTATGTCATAAACCCAATTGGTTTTGTTTTTGTTCTGTCTTAATTTTAGCAGAGTTTTGCAATTAAACTGCCAGTATGAGCTAGTGTTGCATACTGTGATGTGCTTATGAAGTGGAATGTTTTGATCATGATGGAACAATCTTCTGTGGGAATATCAATATTCTGGTTTTATTATCAGTATTTTTAAATATTATACAGTATTATATTAGTAATCCTGATCTGCATTAATTTTGATTATCAATATAATTGCTAAGTATTTCATGTTATTAAATAGTGTGTTAAGGTATTATTTTTATTCCTTACATCAAACTCTTTTTAGGATTCTTCAGTTGAATGGGTTGAGTCAAATGTGTCACAGTCAGATGACACAGAAGAGGCTTGGAAGGTCAACACGGAGCCAGATGCTGCAAAAGAACCTTCCCTGCAGGTGGGCAGGCTCACAGCTGCTCCAGAGATTAATTCAGCTTGTGAAACGTGCCTAGGTTTCTTGGGAACACTTTTGCAGAGTGTTGAGCAAAACCGATTTTACAGACAAATGTCTTTGTTTAGCAGTGTAAATGCTACTTTCCATTGATTGGAAGACAGTTCTCTACCTAATAGTTCTTAGTGTTTAACAAGGCACTGCTCTTAATGTTGCCCAGCACCAATTCCTTCTATCAGGTTTTGAGGCTCTTAAAAGTTAGTTGGTTTTCTTGAAGACATCATCTTAAAGGTCTTGATTAGATGTGTTACTTTTTTCTTCATAATTTTGGTGACTGTTCTACAATTGAGTAAATTGGCAACTGGCCCTAGCTGACCCTGCTTGAGTGGGGGTCAGATGACTGCCAGAGGTCCTGTGCACATCCACATTTGTTGATGCACATTACTTGCTGATGCAGACATAGGTATTATTGAGTCATTTGAAGATAGGTCATTTTTCAGTTCCTTCTCTTTCTTGGAGGAGATCTGAGGAATGGAATGTTGTGTTTCACCTCTGAAATTCTCTGGCATGTTGCCTAAAATAATTTTTAAATAACAAAGATAAAATGACATATGGCATCTGTTCAGATTGACAATTCTGACTTGAACTCTGTTGAAGATACGAAGATTCTTCTGCATGGACAAGTTTCAAAATAGATGTAATTTGGCCATTTTGGTTGCTATACTAGAATTATAGAATTGCTCTAAATACTTGCCTTTATGGAGTAATTGCTTACAATGTGTATGTCACTGCTTGCTTTTGAGGCTTCAGGTTTTACCTGTGTAAAGGTAGTAGATATGTCTAGGCTTTTAATTGCTACTTTTATTTAGTCTCATTTTTAAAATCTCCTTGATCTGACTTAGGTTTTGTAAATACAGTTTTCTAGCTGTTATTGTGGGTACAGTTCACAGAATTTAGATGTATAACTGTTAAGTTTGAGGGTGCAGTTAGTGTCTGGATATCTGAGGTATGAACTGTGCTCAGATACTGATGCAGATTTTGTATGCACTAAAGATATGTAAGAGATCATGAGATTAGAATTAGCCAAATGAGGTGTACAGTATTTGTTTATGCTAATAATTAGCAGTCTGTACAATCTGCATGTTTACTAAAGTCTTAAATACCATTGTAAATATGAATTTCATATTACAGGGAGACATGAAATTTGTTTAAGTATTAAAAATTTGGAAGATTAGGGTTCTTAAAATCATATTTGCTGTTCATTGAAGTATTTCATATGTGTTTGTAGGACCTATCCTGTTTATTGTCAGCAACATCTGTCAGTAGTTGCACTGGTTTGGTTTGGCACATAAGCCATGTTTTTGTTGAAATTATGAACACTAATTCCTTGTATTTATTTTAAAGAGAGAAGAATGGATGAATTTGAACTTCATGTCATTGAAAACAACGTCAGTAGCAGCTGTCAAAGGTGAGAGACACAAAGAAAAAGTGTTGGAACGACAGAAAGCTCAAGAACTTGAGCAGGTAGGAGGAATTAATATCTTAATTTTTTTCTGCCTTTTACTAAATTTTGTATGATGAATAAAGTAATAAATTGGTTCAAATATCTAAGTCTTTATTGTTATGAAAACTAATGCCTGATGTGATAATGATTTTAATTAAATTGGTCTGTTTGGATGGAAGGCTTCATACATCAGGCTTGTGGAGAAAAGCCTGTTAACTTCTAGGTAAGGAGAAAGCTACTTTTGATACTTCTATGTTCTGTTAGTAATAATGACAGACTGTTGGTCTGGCCTGCTCCATGGTGTGTGAAAAGAGCACCATTGTTTAGTGTGGTAAAAGCTTCCTTAAGCTGCTGTACTAAAGTGTAGGGTACTGAGGCTTGTTTTTCCCTTAAGAAAAAACTCAGAGCAGTTGCTCTGAGTTGCCTTTCATGTCTCAGTTGTTGGTGAGCACATGGGTGACTCAGGGTCTGGCTGGAGAAAGGGGTGCTGTCATTGAATTAACTCTTTTTACATGAAGGAGTTGGTGGCTCCTTCATTTGTTCATTTATCTTGTTAATGCTACATAGTCTTATCTGAAAACATAATGATGCATTTTCTTTGCCCTGATATCTCACAGCAGGCTCTTTCTTGCCATTAGGTTTCCTAGTTAGCTGTGTGGTAGTGAGAACCAGAATGACCTGGATCACTGTTCTTGTGTACTATGCAGTGCTTTGGTTATTGTCTTTTGACAAGGGATTAATATTTTAAATTTTTTTTCTCCACTATTATTTTTCCTGAACATTATTTCAGAGTTGTTGGAGGACCATTTAATGTGGACATCTTAAATCACCAGCATGTATTATATGGTTAATGACAATTTATATGTATTCTTAATCTTAGAAAAGAATGATTTTTATAGACTCTCCCACCCAACTACTTGCTGTCCATGCAGGTTTATACTCCTGTGTTTTCTGCACCAGTGTCTGCTTTTTCTCTGGTACCCCAATGTGTACAACAGATCCTTAGACCATGAAGGTGGTGGTGGTGAATTGACAATATAACACAGACTTCACACACAAGTCTCTCAAAATTTATCAGATATTCTATAAAATACTAACCACATACTATGCACACATTAAAATTATTTCTGTTTTAGGCCATGCTGTCTGAGAGAGAGCTCAATCCCTATTGGAAAGACGGTGGTACAGGTTTGCCGCCAGAGAAGAATGAAGAAGCATCAGTTAAGAAAGGTGAAGAGCAATTTTTAGTAATAATCTTAAATTTGCGTCTCCAATTTCTGGACTCTGTGTTGCTAACAAATTACTCCTAATGTTGTTATAACAGGATTATGAATAATATATATTATTAATATGTAATAAAGTAAAATTTGGATGAAAATTCCATAGTGAATATTGGATTAGTATCATAGTATGTTGTTTTGCAGAATTTCTCTTCACTGGGTTTATCTTGAGTGAAGACTTGACCTTCAATTTCCTTACAGAAATTCTCCATTTTGAATTAATTAAAGAAAAGCATGATTTAACCAAGACAAGATAAATTGTTGTCAACTCATTTGGTTCCTTTCATTCCATTGCACAAATTACAGTTTTAAAGTATTCACCCACAGAAGTCTGAGTCACATCAAAATGAAGTACATTACAGATGCAGTTTGCAAAAAATAGTATTTCTGTAGCCTTTTCACTTTTTTCCTTACCCTGGGGTTATCCTGCCCGTTTCCAGCAAACACAGTAATAAAAACCTTTTTCACAATGTCATGAAACATTTATTATGTGGTGAGAATGGGCCTTGTATTCTGTCAACAGAGAAGAGTGGGGTCTGTGCTTTTTGAGAGTCTTTCCCTGTGGACAGTCTGTCCCAGAAACCATTAGTCTCATTTTAGCAGTCACAGAGATCAGAGATCTGTAAGAGTTGACAAGCATCAGTGAGTGTGTATTCAGAATGTTAAGACCACTGCTCGTTTCTCACATGGGAAGCAGTGGGTTACTCATTCAATTTCTGAGAAAGGGAATTCACTTGTTTATGTGTAAGGGGTATGCCCAGGAACGGACAGAATGTGGGAAGGACAGGAAGGTTCTTCAATGTCATAAAGAAACTCCACTTCTCATATGGCACTTCTGTCTTGGAAATCTTGTGATAAACTAGAAAAGCTTAAATTAAATGAGTGGTATTGCTGAGGTATAACCAGCATTAACTTATGAAAATATGTAATTGTATTTGTTTGTTAATTCTGTTTTTCTTTTGCACTCCTTCAGTTTTTATGATAAGTTTAGGTGAAGCTTTAATGTCACATACAGAATAAGGTTAAATAGAAATAATTTCTTGAGATGTAAAACTAAAACCTCTCATTGTTTTCTACTCTAGTTACAGTGGTAGAAGATGCTGGATTAAGTTGGCTGCGAAAATCGTACCAAAGGATGAAGGAGCAGGCTGAGAGAGAGAAGCGAAATTTAGAGGAAATTGTAGCTGAGAGATACGGGGTAAGGATCTTCACCTAAATTTTCTTCATACTAATAGATGCTTGGAAAAAATTACTTTCATGTCAAGGCACAAGTATGTAATGTGTAAAGTAAGACGTGAAAAGAAGCAAGAAAAAAAAGCCTCTGAAGCCTGTCTCGAAAGATGAAGGGTTTAAAGCTACCCAGCCCTTTACATATTTTTCTTGTTAAATGTTTTTAATATATAGGATCTTACAGCAAATTTTAAATACTTACACAATACACCATGGCCATAAAAGTAGTATGACTTTTTTGTTCTTTATTTTAGTCAATGGAGGTATTTCAGTCACGATTAGAAGAAGCTGAAAAAGCTGCATCCAAAAAGGAAAATTATCATAGAAGTGGAAGATGGAAGAGGACTGACTATTCAGAAAGTGAGAAAGAGAAGAAAGACAAGAAAGAAAAGGTGACACGAGATGAAGATGATAGAAACAGACACTCATTTGGGGGCTATTCTAGAGAGAAGTATAGCAAGGGATGGGCACAGGAAGACAAGGGTTGCAAAAGAGATGGGCCAAGAGCAGACCAGGAATGTGGACGCAGTAGCATGGACTCAGTATTAAGGGGATACAGCTCCAAAGCAGAAAAATACTCCAGTGAAAAACGAAATCAGGAAAAGAGTTCATCTCTAAGCAACTTGAAACACAAATTTTTGAAACCCTCTGAAGATGATTTAACGTCTTACAGTGTATCCAGAGACTCCAAGTTAAAACAGTCCTCTTCCAAGGAGGACTCAGCTCATAGCTCTTTGAGCAGCCGTTTCCAGAAACCCAGTGAGGATACTGCACTGTGGACCAAAACACACAATGAGAAATTAAAATCTGATCAAAAATCACCAGGTACTAGGGAACAAATTGATGGCAAAAGCTGGAAAAGAACTCCAGGTGATGAAAATGAGAAGTCGCAACAGGAGCATGCAAGCCATACCCCTGAGAAGAAGCAGATTTTATCTGACAGTAAAACATCATTCTCTAGGTATTTTATGAACATCTTTACTTGGTTTTTATTTGCTGTATTTTTCAAGGCAAAATATAACAAAAGCTCTATCTCCTTTTTGACAGTTATAAACACTGATTATATCAGATCTCTTTAGTTTGGAGGAGGAGTCTTAGCCTTCAGCTAAGGGCATCTAGATGAAGTAAGTTAAGCAGAAGTAGTTAACATCCCCTACCTCATCTGTCTCCTCAGCACATTTGAGAATTGGAAATGATAAGTTATTTTCTGCTTCTTTCTAATGTTAGTTCACACTGCAGTAAAATTAGCCTCTTAGGCAAGAAACCTGCAAAATATCTTAACAGTCATTGAATTTATAAAATACGATCTTGAAACGTTAGAAAATGCTGACTAAAAACTGAAATAATTAATACAGCAGGGATAGGTTTGCCACTTGTGAGATGAGCTCAGGCTAAAGTAGTAGCATGTGAAAAATAGTAGAAAGTATTTAAGAAAGTGCGTTTTCTCTGATGAACAGGAAGCATTGATTGGAGTGGGAAACACAAACTTAATAGGCAGCAGGATTTTAATTTTCTGTGACTTGCTTTTGCGAGAGACAAAAGAAAGAGTAGTAAGGAGAGATAAGAAAGTTGTAGAGAACTGACCTTTTGCTCTGCTCAAGGTCTCCTGTTCTCCAGTATTAGCAGCTTGCTGGTTCTTCCAGTAATTTGACTAGTGTGGTTGTTACTACCAATCCTTTCTTCAGATCTCTCCAATATTTTGTAGGCATATGCAAAAGTATTTTAGAGACAGGGTGATTTTATTTAATTGCTTGGGAAAGCTGAATAAGTAAATATTCTTGGTTGGAGTATGTAAGAAGAATGATACAATTTGGTTGAAAAAAACATTTAATGAAATATGATCAAATATAATTCCTTCTTTCTTACATATTTGTATCAGTTATTTGCAGAAAAACTTCTTATAGCAGGGTTGTGAAGTATTTATTTCATTTATAATTATTCCTACTTGTAGTACTTATATACCTCATGTATAAGGTATTTCCAAAGAAAAAATGTACATTAATGAGTACTGCATGACTAACCAGAAACAGGCATCTTAGTCTACACAGTTCTTTTTATTTTGTATGTTGGGTATTTTTTCCAGATTTTATAGAAGGCAATGAAATTTGAATTTTCATTGATAGCAAAGATATAAATTATTTGCATGATGTTGACTTTATCTGTTTCTCTTTTAAAGCTTGAGCTTGAGTACAGCTCACGGCAGGAGTAGTTCCACATTCTGGCATGATGAGTTTGTACACACTATGTCCCATTCATAAGTGTTTGTCATGTCTTGTTTTATTGTTTATTTTATTGCCTAGGTGCTGTTTTGCTGGAAATGAGAAGTATATTTTTATAGTTGTTTTAGTTACTCTGAAAAAATGATCTGATATCCCTAAACTTGTGATGTATGAGACATTAGACATTCAAATTTAATGATCCTTTTTCTTCTCCTACATATTGGCCCAATAGTTATTGCACTAAAGTGCCTGGTGTTTACCAGTTAAATGCACTTTGTAAACTTCTGGTTAGAATTATCCATGTCGTGTCTGACATAAAGCCTATGAGATTCCTTCCCTATTGAGTCATGATTTGTCCATGACTTTGTTCAGGTACAAGGTCTGCACAATCCACAGTGGTTTTCTGCCTGCCTTTGTGGGGTGGGGATGGTGATGGGGCAGAAGGTGTGGAGCTGGTTGTTACTGTGTGTGAGGTGTGTTGACCCCAGCAAGCAGCTAAGCACATCCCAGCTGCTTGCTCATTCTCACTCCTGCAGAGGGAAACCAGAAGAGCAAAAGGAAGAAAAAACTCATTATTGGATAAAGGCAATTTAAGGAGTGAAGAAAAGGGACAACAACATGTGATGCAAAGGCAGTCAGTCCCTCACCACCTCCTGAGAGCAGACTGATACCCAACCAGTTTTTGAGCAGCAGCTACTTTTGAAAGCCTGCTCTCTCCAGGCTTGTCTTGTTGGGCATGACATTATGTAGACTGGAATAGCCCTTTGGCCAGCTTGGCTGTCCTGGCTGTGACCCCTCCCAAAGCCTCTACTCACTCCAGCTTGCTTGCTGGGGGTGCACAGTGAGAACCAGAGGAAGCCTTGAGGCTGTGTAGGCACTGTTCAGCAACAGCCAAAACACTGCTGTGTTATCAGCAGTCTCCAGAGAAATCCAAAGCACACCACCAGAGGGGCTGCTGGTCGCTAACTAATGAGTGGTTTAGGGTTGCTCAAAGAGTAACCATCTAAAGAATCAGCAAAAATAATATAATTTTAATATAAATCTATAGAAGTCATAAAAATGAGGCTTTAAGTTTGATGGTAGGTTTCATTCTATTATTTACTACATGAATGAAACATATAAAAGAAAACTGAGTTAAAATTGATTTGGAATGTTTTACAGAGTCTGAAGACAGAAAGGGGTTAGGGGGACCCTTCCATTGAGACACAAGGTTCTGAGCAGACCCTTGCTTTCTAAACTCCTCATGGAGCTTAGGTGTGGCTAGAACCAATCTTTGTCTCAGACTTGATCGACAGTTTACATGCCAAGGATTACTCCTTTCAGTCCTTTTTTTTGGTGTGAAATTATGGTGATTCACTTTTTTAGTTGCAGGTACAAAACCAGTAACTTTTTAAAATTGCCACATATACTAAGTGCGCTGGTAATTGTAACTGTACAAAGCTGCAAATTCTGGGAAATGAGATTTTGTGCGGAAGTGGTTTACTTGCTCAAGTTCAAAGAATTCAATTATTATGGTAGAAAAGATAATTCTTTTCCTCACAGAAGAGAGCTAGATGTAGAAACTGTTCAGCTGATATTTTCTTTTGCATGTGTTTTGTGTTCTGGTGCTGTTAAACCCAATTGTGCATCTTCTTTGATATTTTAATCATATTTCTTAGCCAATGCAATTACTTAGCTGACTCATTAGTAAAGTGAGGATTACTTAGGCCTGCAAAACCATATAGCCTCTGCTTAGTGACATAACTTATTTCCACATTCTTCTAAGATGACTTCTTAGCTCCTGAGATTCTGAGTGTTTTGAAATAGTGAATAACTTATCTTCCTGTTTCCTTCAGTCAGAATTTTTTTTTTTTCTTTTGTATTGTGTTTTGTAGAAAATTCTGGCTTTTGGAACATTTCAGGTTTGGATATGTGCAGTAGATACCTGTTCAGAGTAATTTATAAGCTGCTGCTTTCTTTTTCTTCCTGAAGTTTCAAGACCTGTAAAATACTCTTTTGGTAGTTTCGTCAGTCACAAAAAGTATATCTTTGAGGTGAAGGCTTGAATTAATAGGTGTTGCCAGTTCAGTTCCTCATTTCTCATGCTGAAAGTATGGCTTTTAAATTTTATCTTTTCTAAAGCATGGAGGAAGCTTCTTCAGCCTATAAATCAAAGTGTTTTGGACAGTTATGACACAGGTTAATTAAAAGTGCTGATTGGATGTCCAAGGGATCTCCCCAGAGGAAAAGTCCATCAGCTAGTGTTTGCTGGAAGTCACACTTAATAATGTGACTGCTTCAGAGTTTAATTTGAGACAAGATAAAAAGCAAATCAAAACAATGTCTCAAGTCTCAAAAAGTTCCGATAATGATTCAAACACTAGCACCACTTAAAAAAAGAATATATGAATTAATAAACACCTTTTGTTCCTTTTTCTGAAGTAGTCTGTCTTGCTTTGAATGATACAGCTTAAGGAAAAATGGGAACTTAATCTTTGAATGTTTTGTTTCTGATGAAATTAAAGTAAATTCTGCTGAGTTTTGGGGGTTTGGATTGGACATCTTGAAAATGAAGAAAAGCAACTTTGGTAATTTTCTCAGAACTGGGGAGATCTGGTGCTTAAAGAGGACACCATTTTCAAAGATTTCCCATTCTTCTAATCCTACAGGGTTTAACCATATCAAGTAGTGAGTGAATTCTCTCTCAAACAGCAGGAACCAATATCATAACTACTCTTATGTATCTTTGTGTTAGATACTTTGCTTTTAGAGTTAATTGGTTTTAGTTTTTCCTAGGGTCAGAGAACAAGAGCCAAACTTACTGGATGTGTCTTTGCAGTATTTCCTGGGGTCCTTATTTAATAAATATAATAAAAAGTCATATGCTGCGTTTTTTTTATCTGAACATCAAGGTACAATACTCCTTATTACCAGCTATGGCTTCTCTAGGGAGACTTCATATTTTTAAAATGGTGTACCAGTTAATTTTCCCTGGAAACTCTACTGTATTAGCCATAACATACTCAGATGCAAACATTGTACTATGAGCAGATAAAGATGGGAAAAGAGATAATTTTCAAGAGGTGGAAGGCATTTGACAAACAGAAATGGGTGATTTTGCAGAAGCTGAGAAGTAAAAGTGTGGCCAAAGCCAGAAAAAGAATTGGAGTGGGTTGAAATAACTCTTTCTGTTTCTCTTTCCCTTGTTTTTTTCCTGCTTATACCTGCTAGTGACTTTTGACTGGTTTTGCATGCTGGGAAAATGTTCATAAATAGTGCTTTTCATTTGAGTTGATCTCAGAAGTAAAAGGAAACAAACCTCTTAAAAATTTTATTCAAACTCTTTGATTTCAGAGTCCTTGGCAACTTCTGTCTGCAAATACATTTTTATAATACTTCGTTTTCAATTATTTTGCCAATAGGAGCATATGTACAAGTATAGTAGGCTTATTATACTTAATTACACAGGTGAATACTGCACTGTTTTTCTGCAGCTTTAGTGCAGCTGGTGTTTTACAGATCATCAAAGGATGAGCCGCCTCGGGTCCTTAGTGAAGAGGAGATGAACAGACTGGGAGCGAGGATTGTGAAAGCAGAACTCATGGGAGACACGGTAATGGCTGTGAAAAGCTGTCATGATTTACTGCAATTTTTCTTCAAATCTCACTGCAATTTAATTGTTCATTCTTTTTTTAAAGGGTATTGATTCAAGCAAATGAAGACTTGCGAAATGTGTAGGATTTGAAGATACTGCTTTTACAGTAATTTCTACTTTAAACTCAATAGTTCATAGACAGAGTAGAGGATTCAGGACTATGGGCTTTTTAGAATAAATAGCATATGTAAAACCAGTTCTTCTCTGCCCTTTTTATAGTATTTATTGTCTTTTTATTAAAAAGGGAGCAGATGAAAACTACAAAGCTCCCTGTCTTTGTTGCAAGGTAAACAGTGTCTGGAGCTTTACTTACTTCATCAGCTTTGTCACAAGTTGGTGCTTATGGTCCATAGCTCTGCTGTATAAGCAGGCTTATTAATTATGTTATGGAAATTGTAAAACTGAAAGGAATAACATATGCCATTGCAGGCAGCTCTGTGCTGAGAATAGCTGTGGAATGCTTTGTGTTCCTAACCTAGTTGAGGTTTGTCTGTGGAGCTGGGAGAAACAGCTGCACGTTTAACGTGGCTTGTTCAGTTGGCTACCTGAAGGAACAAGAATTTCACTCTTGTGCAACACTAAATTTGGAAGTTTATGTATTTTATATATTACATTAAACATGGCTGTAATGAGTTAATTCCCTTCAGCAGTACTGTCTGGAAGTTTCAGTTATAACAAGGTCAGAGTCTGTTAGTTTTTAAGCTGTGTTTTTCAAGTGCTTGGCTCTGAATAGTTGCTCTTAAGGAACTACTTCTGTATTTTTTAGAAGCAAATGCTATCGCTGTGGGCTTTTGTATTTATTTTTTTAAGATTAATTTTTTACTGCACCTGTTTAGTTTGCCTCTTATGACATAATATTTACACCGAAATCTGCGTCTTTATGAAATAATAGATAAATATTGATTTATAGTAATATATAAAATGTGTTATGTCTCCAAGTGGTAAATTAATATTTCTCAGGTTTGTTTTATCATTATTGCTGGACTAGGACATGGTGTTGATCCTTGTTTAAGTCCCTATCAGATAAATCAAATTGTGTTGGGAGAAAGTGTTCATTTTATAAATATTTTCTTTTCAAACCAATTTTATGTAGACTTTAGACATAGATGTGGGTATGTAGCTTTAAGCATTTGAACAACAGTACCTTATGTGGAAATCCTGTCCATTTTAGATGTTACAAGCTTCAAAGGTGAATTAAAAGTGAAGTTACTTGAAGCAATGTATTTCCTACTAAGGTATAGTGTTAATGATTTAAATAGATGTGTCCATATGTTAATCTCTAGTTTTCTTAGTTAATACTAAAAACATACATTAGTGAGGAAAAATATGTTTATAAAGTAATTATATGATAAATTTGTGAGTGACTGGTTTAGGGGAAGGTTTTCCAAAGACCAATGGAAAGCAGCAAAAATTTGTAAACTTCTTTTTCTGATACTGCTCAGCTTCAGTAGCATTGCCTAAGGAAAACTTTGGGCACAAATCTGATCTTTTTCTTTTCAACCTGATAGGAACTGAATGCAAGTGATTTGATGAAAAATATACACATATTCTGTGGGGAGAGTATAATTCATTTAATATTCTATAATTTTGTTTAGTTTTGACCCAAGTCATGTGGCAGAAACCAGTACTACAATTCTATTTTTATTTTTATATATACAGTTTTCTGTATATGCACTCTGAATCAGCTTAGTTAAAAAAAAAAAACAACCAAACTAAAACTAAACAACAACAGTTTAAATAATAAAATAGCTAATGTAATATATATATCATAGTCTTGTAGCATTTTAAGTATTTTTCATGGTGTTTTTCTAATCAAATTGAAAATGCAGCTTGTTTAAGCAAGTTCATCCTCACACACCAGAACAGATGGTTATGTGATAGCATGTCCTGGTGGCTGGAGCTCAAGGTTGGCATGTGGGCCAAATGAATTCTGAGTCTATTTTGGTTACTGATTTGCTGCCTGCTGTTGATCAAATGACTTAATTTTGGGGCAGCAAGTATGGGCACGATGGTTGGAGTCCAATTAATGAAACTGGCAGAGGGGTTAGAGTGTAAATGGTTCTATTCTTTATGGGTTGATAGGTTGGCAATTCCTAGCAATCCAGGATATTCTGAAATACTTGTATTTAGGCAGATGGATAAGGGAGCAGGAGCATCAAGACCAATTTGCACAAGACTAAATAGTTCTTATTTGTTACCTCTTGTACATTTTAATTCTCAAAATAAGGTCTGAAGTGTAGAAGTTGGACATGGAGTGTAGAGAGATGTGAAATTTCATAGCCAAAATTTCTGAGAGTTATTTCCCATGACCCATAGAGCTGGTGCATGTGTGTAAAGCTGTGTATGTGTGTGTATGTGAACAAGAAAAAAGAAGGATATTGTGTGCTCAGGCTTCCTTATTTAGCTTCCTATACAGAAAGTAATATCTATGCTCAGTTATACAAAGCATTCATTAGTAGAACTTAATAATGTTTAAGAGTATATTTTCTGGTCTTTTTATGGTAGTACTTATACCTGTACTTCAGATGCCTCTATTCTGAACTTTTTTTTTCGTGTTATATCCTATAAAGAGTTGTGTGAATTATATTGACATGTTTTCTTTAGTCTTTTGTGTCATTAGAGTTTAAAATGATATATCAGAACACAAAAAATGAAATAAATAGTTCATTTTGATATAAAAATCTCCTAAAAGTTCAAGATAGTTAAACTTTCTTCACTTTCTTTGAAGGATTTAGCTTCAAAACTTCAAGCAGAACTTGACAATGCTCGCAAGTTGAGAGAGACTCAAGGACAAGTTCCAGCAAAGGCTGGCAGAGAGGTAAGTGGAAAAATATTTTTCTTTTCTTTGCACTAACGCCATGGTATGATAGAGGTAGCAGCTGAATTAGAGATTATCAGATGTACTTAGGAACATTAGAAAGTTTGACATCAGGCAAGTGACTGCCCAAATGGAATTGTACTTTTTGCTGATAAACAAAACTTTCTCCATGGTACTTCAGCAAATTCAATGGGGTTTTTTTTTACTCATAATATTTCCTCAACAAGGATATATATCTTCCATTAAAAATGAAACTGATATGTGCTGGCTGTTACATAACTGCTGTCTCTGAAAAAGCTGGCACTTCAAATGTTATTCATTTTGAAGAGTGGTATTTAAGAAATGTAAGAAAGCTTCTTCTGTATCAACACTGATGTAAGGAAACAGGGTAAATATCTTAAGTTATGAGCTCTGTTCTAATGATGGACTGGAAGCTCTCAAGCAAAAACTAATATTCTTATTCAATTTGACCCCAGTTCCACAGTGAAAATTCAGCTGCTAGTGAGCTGAGTTTGAAAAGCCACTCACTCTTTTTTTTTGTCCAAAAAGGCTTCGTGTCAGACCCCATACACCACCTGGTATTTAGTCTTTAGAAGATAAAGTAAACTGAATTATAATGTGTGGTCTCTGCTGACTACCTTGTGACGATAGTATTTAAGTCTCACACCCTGAATTCACAAGAATTTAAAGTTATGAAAGCTCTGTGTAGGTAGACTCAGCTCCATTGCAGTGCAGTTCTTTGGCATGTTTTTCATATATGTAAAAAAAACCTTAAATAAAGCAGACTGGAGTTGTGTAATTACAAAGGAAAAAACTCCATTCAGATTTTAGAATTGGGAATAAAGAGCATGATATGGGTGGGCCTCAGAAATGTTGGTGGACACCTATTCCTTAGGTACTGAGTTACGGATAATAATTTTGGCCAGGCCTGGTCTTCAACCATATTCTGATTTTTATCTTAATTTTTAATTAAAGAATTTTTACGACTAACAATCATTGCAAAAATACCAAATGTAAATATTTATGAATATGCTTTGCCTGTGCCTCTTTCCTGGCTTTTTCTAGTTGTATTACATAGTGTTTGAGTGTCAGAAGTTCAGCAGAGCTTACAGTTTCTCTGTCCTAAGCCCTATCTTTGTGATGCCAGGGTATTCTTACTGATTTTACAGCTTTGATTTGGTTTTGACTTCTGGGACACAAGCAGGATGTGTTTGGTACTCCTGTATATCAAGAGCCAGCTGTGACACACTGTGTGTCTCAACAGCCCAGAAGTTCAGAAACCATCCCATAACACAAGGGAAGCTGATTTGTGAAGGTGTGTTTGACTCTGCAGGACTCAGCCTTTCTGTGGCATAGACCACCCAAGCACCAGCCTCAGCCACTTCAGCCAGGTGCATTGCAAGTGAGGTACCTGAAGCAGTTTCCACAGAAATGCTTTTCCAAATGGATATCCTATGGATCCCAAAGTTTGATAGCTTTGCCTCCATTATCAGTAACAAACGTGAAGCATTTTGTTTCAGGCAGATCTGTCTCTGCTTCTGTGGAGCAGCATGGCCAATGTCATGCTGGGAGGTCCAAAAATGTGGCTTTGCCTGATTTCAATTTCTGTTGGGAGAGCTGGGGAGATAAATCAGGAAGCAGTGAAGGCAATTTTGAATGCATCTCCCTAGGAAGTTTTTTTTCTTAATTAATTCGACATGGATCAATTTCCCAATTCAGTTCCCTGCGTGACTGACTGAAGACTTATGCTAGTATAAGAGAGGTGTATGAATGGCTGGGGTTTGTACAGAGGACAGGATCAATTATTTTGATAGAGGTGCTGGTTTATTCTGCCTTAAAGTGATGGAGAAACTACAGACTGAAGAGACTATAAAGTGCTAGCTTAAATCCTATTTTAATTTTATATAATTTTATTTTGTTTGTAAGAGACTAGAGGCAAATACAGCTTTTACAGTGTGATTTAGTGACTAGTTTTGTAATTTTTTTGACTTAGACAAGAATTCTACCCCAAGCAATCTCATAAATGTGGTTGTGAAGTATATACACTGATGTTTGGAGTTTAAAAACATTGTGTTTCTCAGGTGATATATTTCACAAGTGTCACCTTGGATAGAACCCCTCTGTTGTTCACTGTAGGCTGCCTTAAGTATGTAACCCTGTCAATTTTAGTATGAATAAAGTTAAATTATCTGTTAATGGAATTTGTCTTAATGGGTATTGTACTTACATGCTTGAGCCACATTTAAATTGTGCTTGTTTTAAGTTTGAGCAGGAGGCAACCTTCAGGGTCTGTGGAAATCAAAAAACTTTTGATTTAATTTGGGATAGAAGGAAATGATGTTTATTTTCGGATGCGTATTGTCTAATTTGTCATGGGCATTTTGAGAAAGCAAGGCTGCACATTGAGTCCTAGTGAAACTGTAAAGAGAAGGCTGCTGTGCCATAGGGTTTCTGTGTTGGGATAGGTGATGATTAGGATACCTATTGAATGTAAGGAGATGGCAGAAAATTGTGGAGACTTCAGCATTTAGAAAACAACTTCCATGTGTTCATAGTTTACCTCTTAAATACAGTTTGTATTTCTGTTTTGAAAGTGCTACACAGCTCTAGATTTTATTACATTGGTTATGAGGATGTCACCTCTGCCACTGTCAGTACCAGTCACAACTGATATAATTTGTACTTTCATTCAATATTTTTATTTAACGAACTATATCTGGAATATTAACACTCCTTTGAGGCACGTAATTTGCAGTACAAAAATTGGAAGGTGAAAGTTTAAATGAGGAAGAGGCAGAATATAGAATATATCCTTTGGAAGGGACTTAACATGAACATCTAGTTCAGCAACATGGTGGTGGATGAATATAGTATAAGAGTATGCATCTTTTAAAACTGTTTGCAATCCCAAATGAAGTACGGCTTAAAAGAAAAACTTCTCAACCCTAAGTTTTTTTTCTGTATTCCATAGAACATAATTAGTATGCAGGGAACAGAAAGTAGTCTCTGCTGAGCAAATGCTGGGAGACAGTTTTCAATAATGATGAATTACATTTGAAAGACAAAATCAATAGAAAATTGAATGAAAGCTGGAAGATGGTACTTTAAGCAGAATAACATGGTAGGGCATAGTGTTACTGATTATTTAAAAGGAGAGAGTTCTGAAAAATAGAAACAGCTATAGGCTTTTCTGTTATGCATTTGGGAATATGTAGGAAAAATATGAATTATTTAATCACATAAAATCTTCATTTGAATAACTGAATTTCTTGTGGAAGTCCTTCAGTCTTTGGTTAGTATGAGTGTTTTTCTGCTGAAGACTATTCAGTGCTTCTGAAGCCTCTTGGCCATAGGAGATATCCGTAGAGTAAGACTTGAATTTTGGCAGGCACAGAATTTCACTTTACAATGGCCGACATGATGCTGCTTTAAAGGAGAGAACCTTTTCTAGGCTACCTGTTGCATTTGTAAGAGTAATAGACTCCAGGCCATTGCTTGTGCATCTCAGGTGAAGTATATTTATAGCACAGGGAAAAGTTAATTTAGTGAGTTTTATGGCATAAGTGGGGCTCATCTTTTAGTGAAAACCTTCGTAATATTAAGAGTTTCATGTACTTCAAGTGCTTCTGCTATTTTTATTTAATTATTCTTCTTGAGTATAAATAATAAGGTTGATTATGTTTCCAACACCCCCTATCTGAACACAATTTTTGATGTATTGAAGGTCTGATGTTTAATTCGGATTCCTGAGATTCATTGGACTCCAGACTGAGGGAGAATTCTAGGGAAACTAGCTCAATATAAATAATATTTTTAAAATTCTTTTTGAAGAACTAACACTGGTTTTTAGAAAAGAAACTGAATGAAACAGCTTGGTTTAAATCTCAAATCCTACTTGTCTGAAGGGGGCCTACAGAGAAGCCAGAGAGGGACTCTTTGTTAGGAACTGTGGTGATAGGACAAGGAGTAATGGCTGCAAATTGAAAGAGGTGAAATTTAGGTTCGATATTAGAAAGAATTTATTTACTATGAGAGTGGTAAGACACTGGACCAGGTTGCCCAGGGAGGTTGTGGGTGCCCCAGTCCTGGCAGTGTTCAAGGCTGGATTGGACAAGGCCTTGAGCAACCTTGTCTAGTGGGAGCTGTCCCTGCCCATTGCTGGGGTTGGGAGTTGATGATCTTTAAGGCCCCTTCCAAACCCTTAATAGTCTCTGATTCTGTAAAACTGCATCCATTGCATCCCGTTGTATATGGTTCTGCATTAGGAGACACAGGATGGAACATGCTGGATCTTTATCCAGAGGAATGATTTGCTGGGCACTTACTATCCTGAGACAAGTAAACCATGTGACATTAGCAGTAAGTAGCTGAGAGGAATCAGATGTGGAATAAACCTGAATAATATGATAATGATAATGATAATGATAATGATAATGATAATGATAATGGGGAAAACAAGAATGTATGTTTCTTTTTAATACGTTTTCAAGATTGACCTGTTCAGAAAAAGCCTAAAAATGACAGTGATTCCCCAGAGAAAGAGACAGTTATCTGAAAGTAAGCTGGTGTGTGTCTATACATGTGTATTTGTGTATATGTGTGTATACATGTGAAATTTAGATAGTGATCAGTACTTCGGAGTAAGAAGTGAAAGAAAGAAGGAAAATAATGCTTCTGATGTGTGTGGGTATTTTATTTAAAAAGAAACCAAGCCAGTGCTAAACAAACACAAAGAAAGCAAAAGCCAAATCACCCTGAAAATTAACATTCAAAATTGCAAGTGTGCCAGGTTGTTTAATTTTAGGTTTGGGAATTGAGACTATAAACACAGATATTTTTCTGCAATGAAAATATTTGGTTGTCAAAATCTACCTATAATATGTTTTCATAACTTTCATTCTGACTTAACCAGTGCAGAACCTAAATACAGCTGTAGGAATGCTTATAGACCTACCATATATAAAGAATGCTTTGAAAATTATTTAAAATTGCTTTGCAGA